TTGAGTGAGGTAACCCAGACCCAGAAAGACAATTATCACATGCACTCACTCATAGGTGGTTTTTAAACATAAAGCAAAGAAAACTAGCCTACAATTCACAACCCCAGAGAACCTAGACAACAATGAGGACACTAAGAGAGGCATACATGGATCTAATCTACATGGGAAGTAGAAAAAGACAAGATCTCCTGAGTAAATTGGGAGCCTGGGGACCTTGGGAAAGGGTTGAAGGCGAGGGGAGAGGCAGGGAGAGGAGCAGAGAAAAATGTAGAGCTCAATAAAAATCAATTTAAAAAAGTCCAACAACTGACATACAGTCTCTGTTCCACGATGCTCCCTGTCCCATCTAGGAGACAAATTAATAAACCAGCAAGTGTGAGCTACCAGTAGGGTTACAATGTGGGCACAAATCACAGAGGGAATCCCCCAGAGGCCTGCCTCTCCCAGGAAGCAAGCTGGGAGGGCTGATGGGAAGTATGACCAGAGGATGGAGGGATGGAACCAAGTTGCTGGAGCACAGGGTGAACTACAGGTTACACTACAGGCTAGTCTGTAAGAATGAGAAGGGATCCGGCAAACAGTTGCTCTCCTGGCTGTGCTGAAAGGCTTGCTAGCCTAACAAAAGCATCCAGGGATTCCAGGAAGCAGAGGTGAGCTGTGTAACCTCTGAACAAATGAAGTCACAGCGTCACACCTTCTTAATATGTAACTTAATATGTAACCATTTATTTTGTTCTTGGTATTTAAGACTTCCACATAATCTCCTGACCAAAACCCTCCAGGCTTTTGATCAACCTCAGTTCACTTTCCAGATAACTTCATGAGCATCCACACAACACTCAAGGATGAAGGTGGAAGACAAGCAAAACAGTCTAACAGGGTCATGTGTGCACCTGCAAGGCTGGCAGTCAGTCAGAAACCAGAATGAGAGAATTTATCTGAAAGTGGCTCCTCTCTCCCTCCTCCTCCTCTCCCTCTCCTCCCCCTTCCTTTCTTTCTGCCCTCCACCTCATGCCTTTGTCTTCTCTGCTGGGGTCGAAGCTGGACCATCTTCATATGAAGCACAGGATCTACCACTGAGCCATATCCCCAGCCTGGCAAGCAGTAACGTCTAACTATTAAATAACCACAACAGTGGAAAGATTTTACCTTAGTATAGTCTAGATCCTCAAGTATGAAATGGAATATGCCAGGAATGAAGGGCATTCCACAGTGGAATTGAGAACAGGAGAGCCTGGAGGCTAAGACCCAAGCATCACATAGCAGAGTCTCAGCGCACTTCCCGTCTCTCTAAATGGATCAGGCTGCAGGCTGCAGGGATGGTCTGAAAAGCAGTTTCTTTCTGCTGGTCAGTTGGAGTTTGGAACAGTTTATTTGAGAAAACCAAACAGGACATTCAGGAAGTTGGTGGTTTGGACCTCAAAGCAAGGGTAAGAACAATGTTATCCTGTGGGTCGTGTGGGTCGTGAGCCTTGCTTTCGGGTACCCATTAGCATACACTTGTAGGAGGGTAGTTTTCTCTCTCTTATCGGGATTTGCCAGGTTTTATTTTAATGAAAAGGAGGAAGTTGTTTTGAAATAGCCTAAAGGAAAGAGAAGGGGATGTTTTCAAGGCTTTGTAAATGTCCATGTCAGAGTTTTCCAAACAGAATCTTCCCAAGGATGAAAAAAAATCAAAGACAAAAGGGGGAAACAGCAAAAACACAAGCGCAGGGAGCTGTTGAAGTGCTATGATTCCGTCAAATGCGAGCTGGGAGAAACCTGGTCTGATATCTGTTCCGAAAAGGGGGTTTTTAGAATAAATAGCCACAGAATAGATGCCTCAGCCACGTGACTGCTAGATTCTTGACCCCAGCTCTCCCCATGTTTTTCTCATGTTGCTCTAAGGCCTGACCTATTTTCTAGCACGTTTTAGGGCTGGGCGCAAGAGTACACTTCAAAGAGCTGTGCTTTGCCCTAGGACCCAAATATGTGGATTAACACTAACTGTCACACCTTCTGGGACAACCACTGGGGAGAAGACACTTGGTGATAACTGTAGCCCAGAGTGTGGCATTCATAGGAAGAGGAACATGGCTGTGGCTCCTGACTCCATCCTCAGTCTCCCCTGCTCACACTGTGGACACAGCAGGAAGCCTTTGCTCAGGTCTGGAGGGACCAGTTCTCTGAAGTACCTTCAGGAGGCACTGTGGCAGGCAGACAGAAGTGAAAGAGATGCTTTCTGGCCTCAAGAAAGTTGCAGAATCCAGTCTATTAAAACATCAAAGAAACAGCTAGAACCTTCCAACCTCCTCCAAACCTCTGTTCACCTGCGTGCTCATCTGTGCTGGCAGAGCTGCCAGCTGTGACTCCCACACACCTTCAAGCGCAATTAACCTTGAACTCAGAGAGGGATTATTAAATTCTAGCAAAGCCAGCTGAAACTGCTCTCTTCCCTCAAGAAGCCAGGTCAAAGTCTTGCTTTAAAGATGACTTTTCAAAAGGTGTGTGTTAGTCTTCTGCTGCCACTTTAAGAACTAACCACACCCACCCAGCCACTTCTGACCTCCCGCTTCGCCATCTTTCTCTCTCTCTTGTGTGGTTGTCTCCTGTCGTGTGCACACGTTTTTCTCTGTCTCTGTGTCTTTATGTCTTTGTATTTGTCTATCTCTGTCTCTCTGTTTTTCTATTTCTTTTTAAGTAATAAATGTTTACCCTTATGTTTATTTACTATGTCTTGTGAGCCTTTTATCCGCCATAACTGCCCGCCTGACTCCCCCGGCCGCATGGCGTTGCAGGGACTCACGGCCATCCTTGACGGACTCTGAGAGCCGCCCGGGACATCCCATCATCATATTCTTTTTAAAAGAACAAAAGTGTGGAACAAACCGGTTTAATTCTGTGTTGGGAGCCAGTGCATAGATAGCTTTTTGGTTTTCTAATTTCTATCTCCAACCCTCTCCAAGGAGATGTTGATTAAAAAAAATAAAACACAAGATGAAATCATGATCCTCAATTGGTTGGATTTTGAAAGCAAACTAAGTTTACATGAAGTCTGGGTTTCTGTCATGTCTCTTTAATTAGAATGGAATGACACACTTATAATTCTAAGGTCTAATCATTCCTTGAACCAGTTGGAATTTATTGAGATTGTGAGGTACCAATCTTTGCCCTGAGGTTTAGTATCATGTACATCTGTGCAAATCTTATTCTCAAAATTAAACAAGAAGCTGAGTCTATAGTCCTAGTACTCAGGACACTGAGGCAGGAAGACTGTATAGGTCATGGCTAACTCGAGCTTCATAACCAGGCGGTAGCTCAAATTCACAAAACACAAAGGAAAAAAAAACAAAGCAAAACAACAACAAAAACACAAAACATGAGGAGAACATTGAAAAATCAGGACATCGCTTTCTAACATGCACAGAAGAGTTAAAAATTATATTGGGTGTTGCTGGGCAGTGGCGACACCTTTAATCCCAGCACTTGGGAGGCTGAGGCAGGGGGAGCTCTGTGAGTTCAAGGCCAGCAAGAGCTAGTTCCAGGACAGGCTCCAAAGCTACAGGGAAACCCTGTCTCTGAAAAGAAAGAAAGAAAGAAAGAAAGAAAGTATATTGGGTGCAAGGAAAATGGTTTGTTAGCTTCCTAATTAATAAAATTTCTGAATGGAAACTATTTTAAAATAACTGTATGAAACTAATAAAAAAAAGTACATGGAGCATCTAGTTTCAAAAATTCTGAAACTGTCATTGTAACTTGCGCATCTTAGAGCATGTGTTGTTTAGAACTCTGGCCCTGGTTTGAAATGTGGAGTTTCTGCCGGTAAACACATCACTTCCTCTGTCCCTTTGATCCCAGAAAGAGGATGTCAAGAGAGAGTCCCGCTTCATAAGGAAGGCATTAAAGAAGTAAAGCAATTTGGTAGAATCCTTGCAATGTTATGCTTGGCATATGAAAGAACCAATATGTGTTAATATAATTTCCATTAAATATCATAACGCCAGCTATTCTGAGGTATGTGTTAACCATATTGAAGACAGAATTAGGAAAGCCATTTTCTGGAGATTTCTCAATGCACTAGAAAAAAGTAATACCCTCTTGACCAATTATTTCTATACTTGACCTTTTAAAAATTTTATACTTATCTCAAGTCTGAAATACAATTGTCAGCCTGATTGAAGCAAACACCCCCACCCCAACCCCCACACAACTTCCTATACAAGTATATGAGCATAGCTTTGTGAAGACAAAAAATAAAAAAAAAAAGATTTGATATATGGTTGGTTGTTTCTCATTTGGTATCCCTGGGATTTTCCCAATCCAAAGCAATAAGCCTGGAGACACTATAAAATGCAGTATCCCATAGCTCAGAAACAAAAACCAGCCAACTAACCAATATTAGTTCCAAGACACTCATCTACAGATAAGAGCAACCACACTGGGAGGGGTGGGAGGGTGGGGCAGGTGGGGGTAAGTGGGTACCATGCTCCTAGGAGAGATGGGAGGGTGGGGCAGGGGTAGGCGGGTACCATGCTCTTAGGAGGGTACCATGTTCCTACAGCATCATTGAGAAACAACTGTGTGCAGTTTCTTCATAAAGCCTGGTTAGGTGGGGTAGATGTACAAGGCCCAGAGTCGAACGTTTGGCAAATATTCTTCTGAATGAACAACCAAGGTCTTTTTAATGTTTTGCCTTCATAACTTAACACTCTTTCCTTTCATCTTACTTCAATCCAACTTTTCCTGAATTTTCCTTCAGTTTTATGATGTAAAATGGATGGGTTTTTTTTTCTGGCTCCCATGCTTTGAGCTACACAAAGATAGTAGACAGTGCTAATGATGTCTCCGAATGCATCTTTCATCCAGACGACCCATAAACTTGATGTCAGAGACTACACCACCGACCACCAACAAATTTCATTCTCCAAAGCAATACAGGAAATGTACGTCCTAATCGGAGACACTCATTTGTTTGTTTTTTTCTGTGAGCTAGAAACATACTGACTGAAAACAACACTTACTTTTGCTCCACAAAGAGAGGATCAAAGAATTCTGTTGTGATTTTGTTGGCATACAGGGAGCAGCCTGTCATGGAGCACAGACCTGAAAAACACCAATGGGTACTGCAGTCAGTCCGTGTCACTGTGAAGCGCTGTGTTCGGCGGAAGTTATTATTTACCTGATAATATGAACACAATCCCAGCCAAGCAAGCGAGTTTCGCTTTGGCCTTATCTGAGCCTCCAACCTTGGTACACTTCATTCCAAAGAGAGCGAAGATGGAGCCGAAAAAGCCCAGGCTGACCGCGGCAATCATCAGTCCTCTGCAGGCCTGGATGTAGCCTGTAATCACAGCATGTCGTTTACGTGAACAAAGGATGCTCAGCTCTCCAGAGAGAAGACCTCACTTTGTGATGTCACTCGGGTTGGGTGTTATACTGTCTTGGGGGGGGGGTGCACAATGGGGGTGACCCCATGAGTTAAGATATACTGCCTTAACTCATGGGGTAAGGCGGGCGAGAGAGGAAAGCCAGCAGATCTGCGTCAAGGGCCTGTTCTCTGTCACGCACTTTGAGGCTCGCTTCATGCAGAGTTTCTGCCTAGATCTGTAAGTTAGTCCTGCCCTTCGAGAGGAGGAACCTCAGGCGAGCAGAAGCTCTGTGATTTCCTGCAGACGAGTTAGCCATGCTAGAGAGGATCCCACCCTGGAGAGAACTGGGAAGTTCATGCCCCACTGCCTCTCGTTCTAACTCCTTAGTGTACCCACCTTCTCAACAGACACTGAGGTGAGTCTAGAACTACAAAATTAGAATGTTTATAACTGGGCAGCAAGATGGCCCCAGGGTCAAGTCTCCTGGTATCAATGGAACTATATCTATGAGACTAGAGCGTGTGTTAGGGGCCCATGGCGAGACTAAGAATTATCTTAGTGGCACCTTGCTATTGGTAGGGTGAATATAATAAAGTTGGGCTTAAGACAACATTGCCTACTAGAAAAGTAATTTATAATTAAGTCAACTGCTCGCGTGTACACGAGAGCCTTGTGCTAGTGAGCTTGTTCCCACTGAACCATTCATGGTCACAGTCACAGATTTTATTTGCATAGTTGGGCTGGTGGTAAACTTCAGCAGGGCTTTGGGCCAGGCCCTGAGCCGTTCTACATGAACAGAATTCAAAGTGACACCCCATATTCCCAGACAGACCACTTCATCTCATTTGAAACAATGCCCTTCGCTCTGATGCAGCGAGAGGGGCACACACCAGTTGTCGGCAAATGGAAGAAGCAAATGAGCACACGCAAGGTTTACTTTGGGAATGAAGCCTTCTAATAAAAAAGAATAATAAAAAAGCTAAAGTGCCAACATAAGCAATAGTCATCTATCGTTATTCCGTAGTGGAGCAAAGCCAATGCTAATTAATAGTAGAAAACTAATAGTTAGAACTTTGTGGAGTAAGTGTTGGTGGCCTCCAGTCCATACTTCTCTGCATGGGAATTTAAAGTGTGAATTACTGTTACTAAGACCCATGTTACAAAGCAGTTCTTTAGACCTAATGTAACACACCCTGAACCACATAAACCCCATACACACAGCAAGGAACTTCAATTTTAGGGTGTAAAATTAATTTCACTAGTGTGGAGGTTACCAAGAACAACAAAAAAAGCTTATTTTAGTGATTTGGGATCATGGAGGATTCTTTTATCAACAATAATGGTGCGGCAAAACTGTCTAGGTCTCTGCCACTGAATACTGAACCAACCCTCTTTTCAGCTTCGGCCCCTGAGCCCTCTCACAGCACAAAAGCAGACGCAAGACCTCTCACCGCCTCACAAAGTCAAAGTGACTACAAGGACCATCAAACGTGGCTCCCTGTGCACCACAGGACCTAAGACAGCAAAGAAGGTGGCATCCAGCTTGCTCTGAGTGCCAACACTAAACAGCAGAAATAGAAGGAGAGACACACACACGCAGACAGGCACACACATGAGACACAAACAAGCCCGGCAATACCCTTTATCAGTGTGGGATGTGTTTTGCTTCAAAACTCTCATGAAACCACAAATAATCCTGAGCTCGATCTATGCACCGCCTTTGCAATAAATACGTGAGAAAAAGTAAGACTGAGCACAGGAAAAATGAATAGCAACTCTGAAGCTGGGTTTGGGGAGCACAGGCCTGTAATCCCAGGGCTGGCGATGGGGTGGGAGGGAGCCTGGGCTCCATGGTGAGACACCGTGTCAGAGAGAGAAGAAAAAGGTAATAGTTTGGTAAAACAGAATGGTTAACAGTTTATTTGAATAAAATGTACCCAAAACTTCTAGATTATTTAATTTTGGAGTTTTTCATTTGTTGACCATAGGCCATCGAAACCCAGGAAACTCCCCTGAGAAAAGGGAGACGTCTGTGTGGAATATTAATTTAGAGAAAGACAGGAACAAGCATGCCTTTATTAGCGACCGTAATCTGCACTTGCTCCCCCTGTCTTACGGGCTTTCTCATGGGCAGATGGAAGGTCTGAGATCTACCAAGGGCTGAGTTCTACAGTCTGGTCAGGCGATGAGTTTCCCTGCAGGGGAAAGTGCTAGAATACAGTCAGCTTGCAGGCAGGGAAAATCTCAGTAGACTTTACTCCTCAGAGACAGTTTTCCCCAGAATCTCTCCTTCTAAAGTCCCCTCGCTGACCTTCTAAGCACAGATGCCGGAGAGAAGGGGAAACAGGAGCTTCTCTTCCTGCCTCACTCTGGTCCTTCTCCAGCGCTACCCAGAAACCTGGTGCGCAGGGCAGCGCACTTCACCCTGGCTCCGGAACACCAGCAATAATTTACTGACTTTCTGCACACACTAAAGGCAATAGTTGGCCCGATGTCTCTGTAACGAAGGGCGGGGGATGGGGGGAGGGAGAAGCAGACATTCCCAGACAAGGGGAAACCTCCCCTGCTACCCTGCCAGTTGTGAAAGAAACTGTTTGTGGTGTTTGTTAATTAGCCTGAAGTTTGTATACTGGGACCAGCGCTCCTTAGAACATCCAGATTCTCAGGCCTGTAGGTCCAGCAGACTTGCAGAGTTTATCTTTCGCAAGGCAGACCTCTCTACCCCACCTTTTAACAGCTCCCAGGGGCAAACTTAGAAGTTCCCCCATCAACGGAGGTGGCAGTAAAACCTAGCCAAGGAGGCCATTATTTCTGACAGGTCTAATTTACTGGCACCGTTAATAGCTAATTAACACATTAAAGTGCTGAGGCATGAATGTATTCACTTAGAAGTTCTCAAGGTATAATTTATAGTTCTCCTACAAGAAATGGCAAAATCCCCCATTAGCAAAAATGGATGACACATGGTTAAAAATAACTGAAAAGAAGTTCAGGGTTAGCAACGAACAGAAATTGCCTGCTCCGTCAACAGTGAGATTTTCAAACAATAGATTGGACCAAATGGACTCTGTTGCAGGAAACCTTCAAGGTAACCCTTAAAAGTTAAATGTCTTCTCAATAATAGGTCCTTTACTTTCAATTTCAAGTCAGAAGCATGATTAGTTGCCGTGTTTAACTGGAAAGAATCCAAGCCTGTCTGACACGAGCAGCTTGGTGTGTTTGTGCAAATAGAGGACGAGGAAAGGTAGAACTCTGAATGTCAGCTCTCGAGCTCCCATTTATACAGGGTCCTTTATTACCGACTGATCTCTCTGCATTGCCAAACAGCAAGAGTCGCAGGGTGAGTAAGAGACCACCAAAGAACCCCTCATCCTAGGCGGATGTGAGAGAGAGCCTGCGACATAGAGACGTCTACGTAGTGACGTAGCCCGCAGTCTAGCCGTTAGCTTTGCCGCACCTTTGGTTTCCCAAAGGGAAATCTGGGAGCAGCATTGAATCCTCCAGAGGATGACAATGAGGTCTCTGTCTCCAAACGGGGTGTTCTATTGACCATAACACAAAATAGCAAGAGTCACCAGCCTTCTCTCTCGGCATTCCTGATCTGGAGTCTGTGCGTGACTTAAGCAGGGGAGACGGGCTGTTCTGGTCAGTAGTCACCGAGTGAGGTGACTTTCTCCTTCCACCTCAAATATCAGGCCCAGGGCCTAACATACCTGCCCTGGAAACCCAAGGTGGAAAGAAGGCAGGGTGGGATTTTGGGGGAGGGTGCTTCTCTGGAAACTTCCACTTGAGGTCGGGGAGGGGAGATCAACTCCTTTTCATGTGAAAAAGGAGTGATGGCTGAACCCTCCTGGGAGACACAGAAGTTTATTTGAAAATGTCCTAGTGCACCCCAGAGGGTGAAGGCACCAAGGGAAATACTGATGTCGTAATTACATCATCAGTTTCAAAGTGCAGTATGGGAAAAAAATGGCATAATAAATTTGGACAAGCAGTGGACTCAGATTGCACCAAGGAATCAAGAATTCACGTGCCCAAAACAAACAAACAAACAAACAAAAAACCAAGAAACCATACAACTACTGTCATAAGATATAAATGGACAAAAAAGAAAAGAAATGGCCAATGATAAGCTTCAGTGGTCAGACTCACGGGGAGTAAGGGGGCCGCAGATCTAATGTGTTTTTCTGGGCGGGAACAGCAGCGAGAAAGTGGCAAAGCAGCTGTCCCTGTTTCTTGGTGGAACGCAATCTGGCAGTGTGAGCTGGACACGAAAACGCTTGTTCTTCTTGTCCGGCGAACAAGCAGGGTACAGAAATCGGCATGCACAGGAAGAGGTGAACGTAAAGGGCTCCAGTAAGGCACTAAGAGCAGGGGGACGTTGGAAGTGGTCCAGTGTCCACGAGGACTCAATGGCTGAGTGAACCTGTCTCTCCAGACCAATGAGAGCTATGCAGCAGCTCAAAAGCTTTTCCCGTCTGCACCGACTTCAAAGGTGTTGTTCATTAAAAGCATTGTGGGACATGTCGTTTCTGGTTTTTTTTTTATATCATTTTCTAATCACAGGAGTCTGCCCACTTTGCATATATGCATATATGGATGGCATACATATAACACACTCTATTCCGTGCCTGCCTAACTCAAGGTCTTGATAATGAGAACTGGACCACTTCCTCCTCAGCACCCAGCCCCAACCACAGAAAGTCTCCACAGCAGACACACAGCAGGGAAATCCCACCGTTCTGGACACAAAGCTTGAAGGGCTACTTCTTTCACCCTCTCCTTCCTCGTCCCCCAACAATCCTGAAGAAGAAAGCAGACTATCTCAGGCAACAATAGACTTACAAACAGAATTGTGAACCCCGTGCTCCTGGATGTACACCACAGGAACAAGAGCTTGTCTGTTGTCTCCTGAATGTGCGCTCGGCTGAGCACAGGAAACTCAACGGCAATGCATGCCATAAACAGTGTT